TTCTGTTTTAAATTATATTCTTATGGCCATTTTGTAACAGAAACAAGCAAAGAGAAGATGAGAGAAAGCAGAGCTGCCCTTTACCCCCTAGCTAGCTCACACCACATTCCATCCCAGCTCTGTATTTGCTTAGTGCAAATTTGTGGGCTTAATGGACAGGATGTATAAGGAAAGCATCTCCCAGTATTTTAAACACCCATTATGTCTAGGTTGCTGTGATCCGTTGAATGGTCTCACCAGGAAGGATCTGGCCTGAAACTTGCATCCAGGTAACATTTCACACTGACCCATGTCCATTCAGAGAGACTGAGGCTGCAGCCTGCCTAACCCCCCAATGAGAGCGTGTCTTGGCTGTTTTTCCAGGCTTCACACCTTCAAATGCAGCCCAACTAGATCCTCAGACTCTTTGGATGGAAGAACCAAGTGTGTGAACACTTAATTGCTTGGGCCAGGGTGGTACATGGGCTTGGAAGCAAAATAAACTTGGTGCAGATCGATGGGTTTCTGATCACTAGCTGGCAGCTGCGGGCAGCTGATCAAGCTCCTCAGCCTGCCTGTTTCCCTGGCTCTGGAGTCCTAATAATGATACCAACCTTGCAACTTTGTGAGAAACAATAGAGACAGTAAATGTAAAGAACCCAGAACAGTGCGTATTCCTTTGTGGGAGACTCCATACGTGGTAACTACATACCCAAGTCAGCAGCACAACACCGTCAGTGGCCCAGAACCACGTATCACTATCTCGGAGGTTCAGTCACACCTGCCCTCACTGAAACATCAGCTCCAGAGTAAAGCTGCCTGTACCAGGTCTTTACCAACTACCAGTGTAACTCCAGGGAAAGCAATTTTCTGCACCTCGCTATCCTAATCTGCAAATCAGGATAACAAAGATGACTTTGTGTGTGAGGTATTTAGAACCAGGTCTCATGTATAGTAAGTGTTCTAAGTATTAACTATTATTATTATTGTTCAGTACCAAGTTCAAATCGCTGCTAAACAGTTTGGTCCTGATTTTTTTGCAGCCAAGCTCTGAGTTTGGGACCAGAGTAAAAATATACATCTCTTCCTAAAGCTTTTCCTATTTCTGCCAATTCCATAAGAATCACACAAAGACTATGTTTGCCATTTTCCAGATTCGACGTTTGGCTTGCACTCATTTGGTTAATACCCATTAAAAGCTTTTAAGATGTACTCAAGCGAAACCGAAATCCACCCAAACCAAACCCAGCATCAATTTGCCCTAGAAAAGCTCATTTCAGTTGGCTTTTTAGCTCCTTTGCGATTCCTTTTAGGAATATTCCTTTCTCTGCAGAATTGGGTACAAACGTCCCATTCTCCCTGATGTTGGCTCCTCCTTTAGGAAACATTTTTTAAGCACCCCTCTTGGTGTCAGACCCTAAATAAGGCCCTGGAAAGAACACTCATGAACTCAGCCTCCGTGCAAGGAGCTCTCAGTCCTCTGGGAAGGAGAGTAAAGCACATGAAAAATGCCTGCAGAGCAAGAGAAGGATGTCACGTTGTCCCTCACACAAATGGAAGAGGTAAGCGACAAAACAGAAACCATTTTTATTCTAAAGCATATTCACATGCTTCTGAAAAACACCCAATACGGCTGCTAAATCTATGAACCAAGAAATACAGAAGTGTGTTGTCACATGAGCACACACACTTTCCAAGTGTAGAATTAGAAGATAAGCTCAAAATTCCAGCATGCAGCTCTCCAGAGACTATATATTTTAGAAGGCAAGACTGCAAGTCAACTTTATAGTATACGGAGCAACAGTACTAACATCACTTTGCATTTTGACGTGTTTCCTATTCCAGAAACTTCCCTCTCACCTGCCTCTTTCTATTTCTAGTACAATCTTGGGAGGTGGATCGAGCAGGAGATAAAGTCTAAATTTTATAGCTAAAAAGGAGATAAAATCACAAAGACTGAGGTTTGCCCCAGGCTATTCAACGGGTAAAAACGTGAGAGCAAAAGCATCTGATTCTCCCAAGTTCTCAGCAGACTTTCTGAGAGACATCAAACGAGGTCAAAGGCCTCAGAAATTAGGTTGGCAGAAGTTACTGTAAGAGGAGACTGCTTTGGCAATGAGTAACCAAAAAAGATAAGAAGCTGAACCCAAAGGAACAGAATAGGAAGCCAGAGGTTTTGCAAAATGTTTCTTTAAGATAAATTGAGACAAAAAAAATGCCCTTGGCCATTTATCAGATTACCGCACTTAAAAAAAATGGTAAAACACAGTGCTGGTGAGAGTGTTGGGAAATGGTTTTGTACAGTGCTCGTGGGCATATAAATTAATGACACTGCTCTACAGTTAATTTAGCTGCAGGGATCTAGAGCTTTAAAAATGTTGAAGCCCTTTGGCCCCACAATCCCACCTCCAGGGATTTATTCCAAGGAAAACTCATGAAAAGATGCAAAGGCTTAGCTGCAAGGACATCAGTTTTAGTATCATTAATAATAATTATCTATGTGATGCAATTAAAAACCTTTTGTAAGAGGAAATTCATTGTCATGGTGAGATGCTCACAAGAGTTCTCTGAAAGATAAAAGCAGGTCATAAAATAGAATGTAGGCAGTGAGTGATGGCTCACGCCTGTAATCCCAGCACCCTGGGAAGCCAAGGTAGGTAGATTGCCTGAGCTCACAGGTTTGAGACCAGCCTGAGCCAGAGTGAGGCCTCATCTCTAAAAATTAGCTTGCTGTTGTGGTGGGCACCTGCAGTTTCAGCTATTTGGGAGGCTGAGGCAACAGGATCGCTTTAGCCCAAGAGTTTGAGGTTGCTGTGAGCTATGACACCAGGAAACTCTACCAATGGCAACAAAGTGAGACTCTGTCTCCAAAAAATAAAATAAAATAAAATAAAACGTAAAAGTATGAGCATGTTTCTTCAAAATGTAAATAGATCCACAGATATATATACCCACCAAAATGTTAATAGTGTTGATCTCACAGTGATAAGTTTTTATTTTCTTCGTTTAAAACTGTCTATATGTATTCTTTTTAAAATATTGTTTTTGACCACAAGCATGTTCTGTTTTGTTTAAAGGATACATTTTAGAAGTGGCCCTTCACCATCCTTTGGCCATGCCGCTCAAGTTTTTCGCCTCAGTAAACCAACAAGTTTTCACCCAAAGTGTTGGTGGGTTCAAAGATTAACAACTGCACGTTGTCTTGAGAAAGGCTGTAAGAATCTCTAGAAACTCATCACCCCTAATAGGAAGGTCAAGTTCATCTCAAGAATATAGTGCAGGCCCTGTCAAGGCAGCCTTGTCTTCTTCCTTTTCCTAATGGATCAACATATTTACAGTAAACTCAAATCCAGGGCATCTAGAGGACATGCTATTCTCCAGTTGCCTCTTGGGTATGTGCAGTGACTCACTGCACCGGCTGGCCACCATCGGCAACCTGTGAAGCTTCCCTCCCCACCATCCAGCGCCTCACAGACACGGTGCAGAACTTGCAATACGTACAACAGCAGTGAGGAGTTATACATTGGGTGGAATGAGTAAACCTCACTTTGCCCTCCTCTTAGTTTTATTTGCTTTCTTTCAGATTCTGTCCCCATTTCTTCTTATTTTTACACACAACAACCCTATTCAGAGGAATTATGTAGCTCTAGCAAATAAGGAAGAAAATAAGAAATCCAGGGAAATTCCACCCTTCACCCTTACCGCCTCTTAGGGGAGAAGAGGGGGACGTGGGGCCAGGACAGAAGCATCGACAGAAAGGATCCCCTCTGGGAGTAGGTGGGCTTCTCTGTAGCTATAGCTGCAATATTTGCAAAGCCTCTGGGGGAGAAAACGCTTGAGCTTTTAACATGATATTTGAAGCCCTTATTGAGGGAAGAAGCGCCTGCAAGTCTTAATCCAATGCATTATAACTTTAAATGCAACCAAGGGATAGCGGTTAAACTGTGGTGCCTCAGTCAAACATTGAGTGAAATTATGACCCTCTAAGACTATAGAAGCTTAATGGAAAATGATAAAATAAGTCTTAATTCTAACATCCTCAACAGCATTAAAAGGGCTTTATTGGCAGTGCCCTTCACTAAACAAACCTTACCAAAAGTCACATAGCCGTTTAAGGCATTTAAGTAGTACACAGTTGTAAAATACATTTCCCATATGCTCCGTAGTTAATCTTCCACAGATTCAAACATAGGTGATGTCTTAACGCGGCTCATACACACATCCAAGGTTAAGTGTGCCTGCAGAGCCACATCAACTCAGGAAAGCCTTAAAATTGGTTTCAACAAACAGTGCACTAGCTTTCATCAGAATCTA